ATATAAATTTTACTTACTTTCATTTCTTATTTTTTTTTAGGCGGGAAGTTTTTGTCTTACGGAACCTGGTTCAGGATCAGATGCCTTTTCTTTGAAAACTGAAGCGAAAAAGGATGGAACTGAATATATAATAAATGGAACAAAAATGTGGATTTCCAACTCTGATATCGCAGGATTATTTCTTGTTTTTGCAAATGCAAATCCTTCTGTTGTAAGTTTAATATCTTTATTCTACTAAATAGTGAACACAAAAAAAGAAACAATTATTAAAAAGATTGATTAATCTGATTAGTAAATCAGATTAGTAGATTAAGCTGCAAACGATTGTATATATTTCATGAAATGTGAATTATCTTCTTAAAGTTTTATTAATTTATTTATCAAATGTTCGAATATTTCAACTTCAACCTTTAACCGATTTTATTGATTATATGATTTCATTTTGCTTTTATTAACTATATCATATCATATATTATTAATTTTAATAATGTAATTTAATTAAGTTAGAATTCTGGAAAATCAACGTTATCGGGCAATATTAATAAAAAATTTTTTTTGAAATAGGGATATCGTGGCATTACAACTTTTTTTGTAGACCGAGATACACCTGGATTAATAATCGAAAAACCTGAGGATAAACTAGGAATTAAAGCATCGGGTACATGTATGATTCACTTCGACAGCGTCAGAGTAAATGAAATGATTTTTTAAATGTTTCAATATGCTATATTACTCGTAGATATTTTTTTTTCATGTACGGTTTTTTTGTGAATTAAGGTCCCTGAAGAGAATATCTTAGGAGAATTTGGACAAGGGTACAAATATGCTGCTAAATTTTTAAATGAAGGTAGAATTGGTATTGGAGCTCAAATGATTGGTATAGCACAAGGCTGTTTTGATGCCACTATACCATACACGTTAGAAAGGAAACAATTTGGAAAGGATATATTCTCATTTCAAGTACAAAATATATTTCAATTGTCTTTAATATAATCACTACAAAAACTAAGTATTACAGCTGTTTTTGTTTGCAGTCTATGCAACATCAAATTGCTCAAGTGGCCACTGAACTTGAAGCTGCCAGATTATTAGTTTATAATGCCGCCAGACTAGTCGATGCTAAAAAGAATGTAATGAAAGAGGCTGCCATGGCAAAATTAATCGCTTCTGGTAATTAATGTCTTTCTTGTTTCTTTGGCACAAATCGTAAAATATCAAAATATTAACTATGAAATTTATTGTTTGTGTTTCTTCAATGTAGAAACGGCTTTGCGTGTTACTGCAAAGTGTATAGACTTTATGGGTGGCGTAGGATTCACAACAAGTTTTCCTCAAGAAAAATATTTTAGAGATTCTAAAATCGGTACTATTTACGAGGGCACTAGTAACATGCAATTATCAACTATAGCCAAATGCATTCGTCAACAGTACTCGTAAATATGTTGTTATAAAAAATGTTTAAATTAAGATTTTATATTTTATTTTTTATAACTATTTTTTATAATCTTTTTATACTTTCTAACTAATAAAATTTTATTAGTAAATTTATATTGATTTTATTATTGTTTAAAACTGGATTCATTTTGGATCGTGAGGTAATTTAAATCCGACAAGGTCTGCAGTTTCTTTGACACTTCGTTCACCTTTGCCAGTATATCGAATTTGAATCTCTTTACATACTCGTTGAGAACTTAGATAACAAAGATATGTTTCTGCTAAATTTTTCAGCTCTTCTCGTGCTTTGCACAAAACTTCGGACGTTTCTCGATGAGATTGTGCTTGTTCCAAAATGTATTGTATCATAATATTATTTTTTGATTTTTGATCAGATGACGACCGTCGAATTTCTTGTACAAGTGAATGGAGCAATTTTGTATTAGGTTTCATCTTGCTTGTTACCTATAACAAACAGAATAAGTTGCTTACTAACAGATATTAATATCTGTTTATCAAATTTGCATCACAATGATATTAATTTGTACAATTCGACAGAATTATGTGATATTACTTTACTATTTAAATTGCTTTGCATGTGATATATAAATGTATATTTCAATACTTTAATGTTAGCAATGTTAAAAATACTATCAATATATTCAATAATAATTAAAAAAATATATTTACAATTCTTAGTATCTATTTCTTCAGTTTCCTTAGCAGTATAATAATCAATTCTTGTGCTCCGATAGCAAGGTTTTTCTCGTATGTTCCAAAAATTTTCAGGAATTCTGTTAATGTCATGTTCAAAAAATGTATGAATACTTAAGTCATTGAATACTTCTTCATATATAAAATCATTTCTTAAAGTAATTTCTGTAACATATGGTTCTATGCGAATAATATAATCAATAAGACTAGGCCTATGTTTTTTTAAATTATCCATAATAATTGAAAAACTATTTGTCAAAAGGATGCACTTGTTTAAGTTTTTAGACCAATTTGCATAAAGGAAATTATTAATTAAGTGGACAGAACAATGTGGCATGTACACCAATGTAATATTATTACGTATAACATGTTTGCCTTCTTCATTAATTGTTATAACATTAAAATCAAGTCGTTTCAGAAACCTGATTTCTTTAGAAGAAAAAACTGGATCATATATATAGATTTGAGAGTTATAATGTTTTTTCAAAGATAAAAGTAATGCTAGTTGATATTTAGAGGATCTTTGATTAGAAAAGTGACCCAAGCCGAAGCACAATATATCAGAAATGTCACTGCTATTTAAAGAGGTTAATGAATCTTTCAAATAATGGAAAACATTGTCAGCGAACGATGAATTTCTCACTTCAACTTCAGCATCTAGTAGCTTTCTGAAAATTATAGAATTATCAGAAATTTGCATACACACCTTTAAGACATAAAGAACTCTTACCGATTCAGTGTTTCGTAATTAATGTTCGGACTATCGTCATCGACATCGTCCGTGGTTAAAAAAGTACTTGTACGACTTATATTTCGAACACGAGATATACGTTTCTTCCGACGAGTTACGAATTTAAATTCTCTACTGTCTCGCATTTTATGTATGTGTACATATATGTATGTATATATTCATAGTTATAAAACATAATCCATTTTTGCAGATTAGACTACTTAAAAGATTCATATATCACTTAAAACTAGTTGGTATAGTTGGTATGACAAATGGCATATAATCATATTTTTATAATACAAAATTGTCATAGAAACTGTTTTACAATACTGACACAATTTCTTAGTCTGAGATATGTTCAAAAAATATTTAATAAAAATGAGCTGATAAAGTAATAAAATAATAATAAATTACAAAATGAAAATGATGGTTTAGGATTTTTTCAATAGATGGCGTCACTATTCTACTTGTTTCACCATTGACTGTTTCACATAGATAGTATGACATTTCATTGAATTTCGTATTTGTCGTTCAATATTTTAAAAATCAACTCAATATTTTAAAATTCAACTTCAATATTTTAAAAATTATAAAATTATTATTGGATTGGTAAGATACAAACGCTTTAATTTTTGTTATCTTTTCTCTTCTTTTTTTTTCATGTATTTTTTTCTAAATCATTCTACTTTTTATTTTTTGTTAAATACTATAAATAATATAACATTCGATCAAACAGCAAATTAAATAGTATTATTTAACTACGCATAATCAATTATATATTAATTAGATATTTACGTAAATAATTGCCTCTCTTAGGATCATTATTCTTAATAACTAAAGAGAGAAATTACTTAATGTAATTACATTTGAATATGACGTGAAACTATTATACAGTAAACACGTAGTAACGAGCTTTTGTACTTTTGAAGCATTATTTATTGCATACTGACTAAAAAAATATTGAATATCCACGTGATAATACAATTTGCGATAATTAAAATTGTTGTTACCTTGTTGTCATTAAAAATAAACGAGTGTTCGGATATTTTTAAATGTATGTATGTAATAATTTAACATAATACGTCTTCCGTGAGGTGAGATATATTATGTATATATCTATAAATATATCATTATGAATTTCGACAGCAGGATGACATTATAATTTTGTTTACCAATTTCGAATTTAGCTTCAACAAATTTCGCAAGAGGCTTCAACAAATTAAGTTCCCTTCCATTGAAAGCCAAGCATAGAATCAAAATTTCAGTGATGTAGAAGTTGTCTCGATAAACAAATTACGAAATCAGGATTATATTATGTAATTAAATTAATATCACTATCATGAAATTTTACAAGTCAAAAACTACAAAGCTTTTAACTAGCACCAATAAGTTCTGTTAAAATTAACAAATGTAGTAATAAATCAAATGTTAACTATAAAAATAAAACTGAATGTTATAAGTTACAAATCATTTTATCATTCTGTTTGAATATTGTAAAATTGTAAAAGAAAAGTACTTACAATATTGCATAACCTATAATTTGTAAATTTATTAATATTACGTTAATGAATTATTAAACAAGACAACATATATTTTATTTAAATGAAATTTTACTCAAACATTCATATATGTGCAAAAACAAGGAATATCCATGAAGTTTAATATAGAAATCTATATGCTATTATCAATAAATCATTAATAATCTTATCGTATCTATAATTGTGAATAGTTACGTAAATATTAAATTACACACACATGATATATGATAACTGATTTCAATTATCATGGAAATGATTATTCAATCTGAATCATATGTTTGTACAAGCTAATGAGTGAAAATAGTTAAAAATCATGAATTACTCCAATGTTAGTCTTCATAATGTTCTAATTTAAACTCAAAAAAGAAATTTGGGATAAGACAGTGCATTCTGAAAAAACTCTGAAAAAATTTGACTTTTATAATCTGCACTTGAATGTATGAAACCAAATAATTTAAGTATTAAGATACTATATTTTCAGACATTTCATTTTTCTATAAATATATTTTGATATTAGATAATAAAAACCTGTGCTTAAATTAAAACGTGATAAAAAAAAGATTTTACATTTATTGATTTTAGCAAGTTTGATAGATTTGTGTAATACCAGATTTTGCCACTCTAGATCGTAGAGGGCATAACAAAAGCTCTGATTTTTTGCACGATCGGTATTTCAGTATGTAAAACATAAAGTTCCGTAAGATGATAGGTCTATCCTATATTTTGTTTGTGGCATAGCATATGACGTATGCATTGCTCCTTGATGACAAATTGATCGAACAATTAACCGATCTTAAGGATGGTCGAGCAAGCGATTAAACTAGTGTGGAACCATAGTTATGATCGATCGGTATAAATCGACACGGATATATAAGGAATCTATCGTAATGTATTCGTGCCGATCGATTTTTATCAGCGTTTTAATACAGTGCGTTACAGAAGAAGAAACGCGATACGTAAAGGTAAAAGAAAAATTATCGGACTAATCACGTCCCACAACGAATATGCGCACCGCGATAGAGGAAAAATGGTGAAAAATATTTCTATTGGTAAATTTTTCTATTAATAATAAAAACAAAATAAAAGAAAATTAAATCTCATCAATATAGTTGTCGTTCTTTTCTTTGTTTACATATTCATAATTAAATTATCTACTATGTGTTGCCATATTTGTTGGGTATATTAGCGATCTCGTATAACGGTACTAAAGTAATGTCACGGGCAATTTAATTTAGACTTTTTAATTTACGTAGAATTTTAGCAAAGTTCATGTTATTTAAAAATTATTTTTAATTCGTCAGATAATTTTAAATGTTGGCAACGATTACAGATATACGAAAATTTCATTTTTTGACTAAATTTTCATTTTAGCAAATTTTTTAAAATCTAAAAAATTTAATGAATATTATAAGCAACCTAATATAAGTTATTTTTAAATCGTGTAAAAATGAAATTTAATGTCATAACAAACTAGTAATAGTGATTTTATTTATATTATATAAATATTATTTTTCCTTCATGATACACATTTCGAAAATTATATGTAGTCTTATTGACTTTTTATTTAATGATTCAGGCGCAAGCGGGTCATAGGATATCTACGAGAGACATCTTTTTTTGAAATGCCTTTAAATATAAAAATGAATAAATGGGCTCCAAAATTGACAATCATCTTTCAGCTGACTATTTGGAGTACAATTGGAATTATACTTCTACAAAAAGGTGTAATTTCTCTATGTGAAAAGACGAAAGCACAAAATGACACGATTAACATGCAGGTTCGACATTCTAATCGATTATGAAAATATTTTACGCCAAATAATTGGATTATTAATGCAAACTCATTTGAAAAATATCACCACTATAAATAAACAATTCCTATTTTTCATTGAAGCAACAGTATTTATTTTTAGTTGATACTTAAGCTTAATGATCAATCGCATTTTCAGTGATAAAAATTATCGTATTTTCAAATTATCGTATTATATTATATAAACAATATACAATTTGATATCTAATTAGAAATTAATTCCTAGTATATTTCTTAAAATTTTGTATATATACTGAAGAAAACGAACTGAAAAACATTCGAGAATACTATTTTCACAGGAAAAGTTCTTGAGATGGAACAACGGTGAATTGTTTCGAGAATCAAATATCACAGGAAATCATTTTAAAATTATAAAATTTCAAATTGGAGCTCGGCGAGAAGATACCGCTATTAATCATACTGGCGATACTACATCTAATGGACAGTTACCGCGCGAATTATATACTTCTTATGGAACAAATAACATCGACAGCGCCATATCTAAACCCACCTCAATGATTAAAAAACGTACAACGATCCATCATAAACACGATGCTAAAGGTGTACGTTCGATTCAAACTTCGACGGTTTATTCAGGCAACAGAAATGAAGTAGAGCAAGTAAATCACAAAATGAACATTATTATTCCACTCACTTCCAATGAGAATCCTTATGAAACAGAAAACACTATAATAAATAATAGCGTTATTAATCAAATAGACTTTGGTACTACTAATTTGATCAGGTTGACGGAAAGAAATTTTTTCGAACATGAACATGATGAAAATATCGAAAAGGATGAGAATGAAACAAAGTCGCGACGTCGTCCGGTGAATCGAGTTGGAACGGCTATTGCCATAACCATGCTTGCAATCGGCGTCGTCATGTTACTTATAGGACCACTTATAGTCATTATTCGTACTTTTAATAATAGAAGGCGAACCAGAGAAATGTTAAAATCAAGATGTTATAATGATCGACCACCAACTTACGAAGAAGCGACATTGATGGATGAAACACCGAGATATTCAACTCTCCAACTAGATGCAACCAGTGATTCTTTTTCTCCTTAATCTCTTTCATCCATTATTTACCCCTTTCTTTTCGAATTCATTCTTCATATATTATGCATTTTATCGATTCCATCTATATTTCTCGTTTATATTTTTATCTCATACAATAGTAAAAATTTCTGATCTAAAAGTAAACAAATAAGTTTATCTTGTAATTTGTACTTAATTGAAGACTATATATATATACGCACACACACACACACATATATATACATATGTATATATATACATATACATATATATGCATGTATGACAATTTTTAATAATATACATGTAATATTATTTTTTTCCTTTTTCCCATAATATCACATTTTCTTTCATTTCAGTCAATGGTTATTAATTAATTACATTTATCTTGAAAATATTAATATTTAACAGTTTTCGTAAAACGTACAAATGTGTAAATAGATCAAAAATGGAACAAAATAAAACGTGACGGAACGGAACGAAGTGAAACGAGACGAGACAGAAAATTACTTGTAAATATGACAGAACGGAACGAAATGGAATGAAACGATTTAGTGATTCAAGATGGTACTGGAAAGTACAATGATATGGTAAGCCTTTGATATTTATTATTGCAGGCTTATAAGAGGCGTTACACTTTTTAATTTGTTGATTTATCTTTCTAATTTTCATTGAATTTCACATTAAACCACTTTTATGCTTTTTGACGATAATTATATTGATAATTTGTAAACGTAACGTGAGTGACAGTGCAAAGTTGAAATACTTCATAATATACTTACGATTAATTTTTTGTTCTTGAATTAAATTTATTGAACATGAAATTTAATTTAAAACTTAATTGCAAATAACATAACTTAATTACAAATATGATGAATGATAAATAACTAACAATACAAATATTTCCATTTTTATGTCAGTCAAGTATAGGTTATACGACTAAGTTAAGATAGTTTAATATATATCTGTTTATGATGCGTTTATCGTTTCGTTCACACATATTTATAGTGTCGACAACAGCGATTATATGAGAAATGGAGATTTTTTACCAACACGATTGCAAGCACAACAGGATGCTGTTAATTTAGTTTGTCACTCAAAAACTCGCTCGAATCCTGAAAACAATGTTGGCTTGATAACACTAGCTAAGTATGTCAATACTCAATATATTCTACATGTTAGTTATGGAAAATATATGTTATTTTTTCATTTAATCTTTATTCTTCTAAAGTGTCGAAGTGTTAGCTACGCTTACTAGCGATGTGGGTAGAATTTTATCAAAACTCCATCAAGTCCAACCAAATGGTAATTTAAGTTTAATAACAGGAATACGAATTGCACATGTGAGTATATTATCTATCTTTATGTTGTGTTATATATAAAATTTATAATTATATCTATGAATAACAATAAATTAACAGCTGGCATTGAAACATCGTCAAGGCAAAAATCACAAAATGCGTATTGTTGCCTTCATTGGTAGTCCCATAGAGATTGATGAGAAAGAACTTGTAAAATTAGCAAAAAGATTAAAAAAAGAAAAGGTTAATGTGGATGTAATTAGTTTTGGTGAAGAAAGCATTAATAATGAAGTGCTGACAGCCTTTATCAATGCTCTTAATGGAAAGGATGGAACAGGCAGCCATTTGGTCACAGTTCCACCTGGACCACATTTGTCTGATGCATTGATTTCTTCTCCTATAATTCAAGGAGAAGATGGAATGGGTGGCACAGGTATGGGAGGATCTGCTTATGAGTTTGGTGTTGATCCAAATGAAGACCCAGAATTAGCATTGGTTTGTATTTGGTTACTATTCTTTTCAGTAAAATTTCCACTCTGTTTTATTTATAATTTTTATTATGTATACATAGGCACTACGTGTATCAATGGAGGAACAACGGCAGCGTCAAGAAGATGAAGCGCGACGTGCACAAACTAATGAAGCAGCTACAAATGAACCATCGGAGACAATTAGAGAAGTACATAACGAAGAGGCAATGTTAAAGCGTGCTCTTGCTATGTCACTCGAAGGTGCGGAAACTTCGTCTTCAACTGCTGACAATACTACTCCTGCTAATATAAATGCACCAGATTTTGCACGTATGACCGAGGAAGAACAAATTGCTTTTGCTATGCAAATGTCTATGCAAGATCAACGTACGAGGATTCGTATATAATTATATATCTATATATATATATATATGTACTTACATGTGTGTACACTTATATTATTATTATGTATTTTGTTTTACAGAAGAACTTGAATCTCTAAAAGAAGAAGCAATGGAAGTCGAAGAGGATTACGCCGCTGTTATGTCTGATCCAGCATTTTTGCAATCAGTTTTGGAAAATTTACCGGGTGTTGATCCTCATTCGGAAGCCGTCCGTCAAGCTGTTGGATCTCTTCAACAAAACAAGGATAAAGACAAAGAGAAGGAGAAAGAGAAAGAAAAAGATAAAGAAAAGGACAAGGATAAAAAATAAAAAAATTATGCTCATTAAATATTAAAACCTTTATATTAATCACTGTACGAATGTGAATATCTATATACCAAATATAAGTTTCGGATTTTCCAAAACTTTATTTAATATTTTTCATACGTATTACTTGTTTTTACAACCTTCTTCATTTTTTTTTATATGAAATCAAGCCTTTAATTCTTCCTTCTATGCATCTTTTTATTTTATTTTTCTTTTTCTTTGTGGCTAAGAAATTTTAAAATCGCTAAAAAAAGACAATAAAACTTCAAAATGGCGCCACGTAAAAAAAGTGTTAGTTTGCTACGCGCTCCATTAACTGATAGTTTAAACAAAGAAAATAATTATTTGCGTTCGTTGAGTGATTTTCAAGCACGAGTTCGAAGGCGAGAAAGTATTCGAAATTATAAAAATATAGCTGTGAGTAAATATTTGATGATCTGCAGAATTATTTATTATTTGCTATATGTTTTAATCTCTTCCTAATTTATCAAGGTTTTTATTACTATTAAAAGGTAAAAATTGCTCTTATTTATCTTGTTTTGAAAAAAATTGTTATTTTTAAATATTGTTTAAAAATTTTCAATTATCGTTAAAAAAGTATAGGTTATGTTTGACATTTGAAAAAAGAACCGTTGTAGAAGTATGTATGTACTATGTATTTTGATCTAAATTAGAATGAAATATATATGTATTTAATTTTCTACATAGCAAACTTTTTGAAGTTTTATTTAAATGTCTAATTATAATATTTTTAATAAATGTAACTTCTTTACTTTTTATTTTTGTAGGTATTCAATATAAGTACAAACAATATTTGTATATTTGTACTGTTAATAAAAAGGATCTTGTGGTTTCATCAAAATTCTAAGTCTTAACAATTTGTATCATATAGCTTAACGCTTATTTCAATTTCAGGACAAATGTTATTTTTCTCAAAGATAAATCACTATGTTGTACGAATTACGAATTAAAGTATCAAAAAATTTAATATACTTTTTTTGAAATTAGTTGTATATACATAGCAAAGTTACAAATTGTTTCTATTTTACTTGTTTTTTTCACAAGGAACAATGATTTTAACAATAGATATCATAAGAACAAAATATATTTTCTTATAGGAATATGATTTGGAGCAAAAAATTGAATTGGAAACTAAAATAAAAGAAGGCTCCTCCAGATTGCTGGCTGCTGCGCGACATCCTGCACAAAGTTTGGAAGCAGCACGTACTTTGTTTACTTCTAACAAACGGATGTCTGTCTATATGACTGAGTTAGAACATCGAAGAGATGCATTAAAAACAAGGTATGAATTATATTAATATATTGTACTGATGAGACACGAATAATACTATTTAATATTGTATATTTCAGCAATTCAGATAACGGAGGGAAATTATCCATTTCGGATCTTAGATTTCCTTTGATGTGGAGAGACTCTGATCATTTTAAAAACCGTGGAGATTATCGAAGATTCGCGATTTTTTGTATTGTTCGAGTTGGTACTGAAATTCAGGATACGAGTTTACTTTTCCCAATCGATAGAAAACAAACGGATGTTAGTTTTCCAGACGTTTTATTATTCAATAATGTACCAGCTGAATTTGAATTATCTTTAGAAGTTTATAGTCATATTTTGCAAGAAGATCTCAGTATTGCTAGCACTCCAAGAAAAATCAGAAGAACTATTCATTCTTCAATTTCAAAAACAGTAGGTCGAAAGTTTGTTGCAGCTTTACGAAACGAGTACGAGTCTAGTAAAGTACCACAGTTTGAGTTGATGGCTTACACAAAAATGACTCTTGACGATACCGATGAGAACATACGTTCACATGACTTAACGTTAAATAATTTTGGTAACAAAGGTAACGTATTGCCGCTTTTCGGACATTTTTGTTGTCGTTTAGCTGTTCAACCATATTACATCGATAAAGAAGTTTGTGCTGGATTCACAATTATAAATAGTCGACAGTGCTACATGCGATTACAAGGTTTTCAAATTGAAATTTGGAAGTCGAAGAAATGTTCAGAAAAATTTAAAAAACCAATGCATGCGATTTGTGTAAACAAGGTGAAATGAAACTCTGGAATATATTTTTTAAAATTTTTTACCGACATTAAATGTTACTGTAGTGTTGTTATATTTCAGAAAACCATGGTCCGCCGATCAAAATCAATGAAAAATCAATTATGTATAATCAATAACATAAATAACAATGAGGTGCGTGATATTATAGAATTTCATTCAAACGAAGATGTTCAAAAATGGTTTGACAAATTGGCAAGATGTATTAAAGAACATGCAAGATGGAAACATGCAGCAATAAAATTTCAACAAATTCCATATTCTGAGTATTCGAATGAAAATGCAAATATAATAAATACTTTTGATGAGAAAAACAAACGTCAACGATCTCTTTATGATGAAACTTCATTAATAGATAATGTTTGTAGAGAAGCAAATATAGTTTGTCCAAATATATAAGTTTTATTTTAACTTGAAGTATATTAATATTTACTAAATACTAAAAATTTTAATTAGTATATAAGCTGTGAATATTGTAATAAAAAATAAACATTACAAAAATTTTTATACGATTATAATTATAAAAATACATAATACGAAAATGCAATTTTATTTTCAGAATCAACTTACCTACATACTTCTTCAAAAATAAATGTTCTGAAAGAATGATTTAAATTTAGGTATTGTAATAATGCATCAACAGTACACATACCATCATTAATTTCATTAAAATTTTATACACATTTCTCAATATTTATCATAAATGAATTTAGTAAAATTATTCACATTATGTTGTTAGCTCTTAAAAATAAAGCATAATTTTTAAACATTTCTACTAATGATTTATAAGATTTTCAAGTTACATTTTCTAGATGGAATAGAAAATGCAGTTTAAATTATAATAATTGACTAATATATCATAGTTTACATGATTACTATTGAACAAATAAATGTAATAATTATTCATCAGTTTTTTTTGATTTTTTTGCCAGTGTCAACGTAACTCCACTAAGCATAGCTAAGATAGTGAAACTTTGTGCTGCAACTCGACTACGCATCATATATTGTGCCATTAAGGAATTTCCTTTAGTAGTGTTGTACAAACCATAGCAAAGAGCAGAAACAGTTGCCATCAGACCTGAAATAAAGAAAGAATTCTAAAAAATATATATATTTAACATATATTTTCTACAGTGTAATGTTAAATTCATAAACTAATGAAATAGCAAGATTATACTAACCTATAGGTATCAAAGGATTTTCTTTGAATTTTTTTATTATACGCGACTCTTCAGTATGATTAACATCTAAGTCAGAACGTACTTTCTCAATCCATTCTAATTTTTCTACTGTTTCCGGATCCTTTGTTGAGCCTATCAACATTGTTTCTTGCATGAAAAAATATAAAGAATTAATTCGACATGGAGGACGAACGTCACGTCTTAAACTGTGTTCATGTACTGAACAGAAGAGAATCAAATTGATTAGGACAGTATGTATTTTAAGTAATTGGCAAATTTTACGTTATGCACGTTTATACGTTGTTTTAAGCAATATAACTTTGTAACATGTGCATATGTACATAACATGTACATAACTTTCTAGTCAACGTGATAGGTATTGGGCGAGTTCATAAGATGCGCGTTCAAGAGAAATTAAGTTTACGTGTGCAATTACTTGGAATCCCCTCCATAAAAATATGTTGTCTAGTTTTTATAACGTTCTACATCTTTTTCTCTATCCTTTTTGTTTGACTGTTGAATTTATTTAAATAATAAAAGTTGATATACGAAACAAAATATGAATGTACGAGATGTTGTAGAAGAATTAACACAAATTGGCATAGAAATACGTCAAAATCTGGAATCGTCAGTTGACAAAAAAGAGGAATTGATATTACGACATATTAAAGCGTTTTCAAAGAAGGAAACGCGGATCGTCGATTTTCAACCAGGTTATTGATATGCCTATTTTATTACTTGATATTCTACGAAATTAATTCTGGTGATTCCATATATACATTATTCAAATATTAATAGAGGTTGCATTCTTAAATTACGCAAGTAATTCTGCGTTTTGTACATTAGGTCCCTCTACTAGTTTTATTAATCTGAATATATATTTTATTTAGATTGATATTTAATTTATTTTTTAATGTTGAAATTCTCATACCGTTTGAAAATAGTAATGTGACTTTGGTTTTCATTAGGTATCGTACCTATACGTGATAGCATTTAAGTATTATATAATCAGATGTTTAAGAAATCCAATGAACAAAATATGAAGGCTGTTAGGGAGGTAGACACAGCAAGCTCAAGTCAGACATTGTATTCAAATGATAAAGAAAATATTTTACTTACGGAAGAAGAGATGCGCGAATATTTCCAGCTCGTAGAATACGAAAAAATGCTTGATCAAGAATTGTCTAATTTAAGGAATGAAGAGGCAGAATTTCGTTCAACTCAAGAAACTATGGACTTATTACATAAATATAATGATATTAAAGATGTAACTCAAATGGTTTTAGGAGCAATAGCTGTAGCAAATAGTACTACAATCAAGAATCTGTATAAACAATATAATTTATCATTGGAAGATTAAAAATTCACAGTTACTTTCTTATATGTTATATATATGTATATTATTTTTTTCTGCCATTCACCCTTTTATCATTTCAATTCTTAAAATTTATGTTAAATTTATAAAATTTATAAATTTAACATTTATCATTTGTCATGTTAATTCTGTGTGTATGTAACAATTTAATGAAATTTTAAAACCAATTAGGTCTGGAATGGTTCAACGTTGCAGAGGGATTATCTTTATATAAACATCTCAATGGAAAAATAGTTATTTTGGATTTTTTTACATATTGTTGCATTAACTGTATGCACATTTTACCAGATTTAAATGCTCTTGAGAAACGATTTTCAATTAAAGATGGCCTTGTTGTTGTTAGTATATATGCATTGTTGTTGTTAACAGTACACATTGTAAAATATGCAAGATTTAATTACAATCAGTTGCAAAAGTCTACTACTACTAGTAATACTACTATGTTCTTTTAGGTTGGAGTACACAGTGCAAAATTTTCAAATGAACGAGATTCAAAGAGATTGTTGTCAGCAGTACAGAGATATAACATAAAGCATCCAGTCGTAAATGACAAAACAATGTCAGTATGGCGTAACTTAGGAATCTGCTGTTGGCCAACATTGGTGATGTTAGGTAATAATCATATAGATATGATTTGATTACTGAATCCAGCAGTTGTTCTTAAGAAAGCAAATAAATGATTTATTTATTTATCCTATCAGGTCCCACTGCTGAATTACTTGCAGTTTTTGTAGGAGAAGGACACAGAAATGAACTGATTCTATATGTAGATGTAGCATTAACTTACTTTAAATCATTAAACAAAATACTTCAAAATGATATTCCTTTGCAACTGGCAAGACATTTATTGCCTACTGGAAATGGAAATCTTTTGTTTCCAAGTAAGTTGGAGATCTTTCAGAATGAACAAGGAGAAAGTCTGGTTATTGCCGATACAGGCAACAATAGAATTTTAGTAATGGACACTATAGGCAATGTGCAACACGTTATTGGTGGTTCTAATCCGGGTTTCAGAGATGGAGAGTTTGAAAATGCAAAGTTTAATGCACCTCAAGGAGTATGTATGTTAGATACATCAATTTATGTAGCTGATAATGAGAATCACGCAATTAGAAAGGTAATAATTTAGACTATAACGTATAAAGTGATCTCACTTTTTGAAATAATATGCGCACAATATTCATTTTTAGATAGATCTAATAAAGAGAATAGTAACCACTGTTGCTGGTACAGGAGTTCAAGGTCATGATTATATCGGGGGTAAAATTGGTAAAGATCAAGTTTTATCTTCACCATGGGATTTGGCTGTTTATAAACATGAACATGGTAAAAATATTATACCTATATTGTTGATTGCAATGGCCGGTACACATCAGATTTGGGCACTTTTTTTAGAAGATACTATTTGGTGGAAAAATAGGTAACATCGGAATTACGTGCATTTAATGTGGATGGAAGTTTACTTTTCATCAACGAGAATCATACATTCTGCTCTAAAATTTGTGTAGAAAATATAAAGCGGGTACTTGCGTTGCTATAGTGGGAAGTGGCAGAGAGGAAAATCGCAATAACATATATCCTCATGCGGCTGGTTTAGCACAACCATCTGGTTTAATTGTTGCTGAAGAACAAAAAATTATATTTTTTGTCGACAGTGAAAGCAGTGCTATTAGGAGCATAGATTTACAAAATGGACAGGTTTCTGCCGTTTGTGGTGCAAATAGAAATCCAGCAGTGAGTTCGAATATAGATGATTTAATTTCTATGACTTTCTGTATCAAAGTTTATAATTCTGTATATAAATATATCACAGGACCTGCATGATTATGGAGATGTTGACGGTGCAAAGTATCAGGCAAAACTTCAACATCCTTTGGGTATAGCGTGGTACACGAAAGAAAATATTGTTTACATAACTGATACTTATAATCATAAAATCAAGATGATTGATGTAACTACTCAGTATTGTAAAACCGTATATGGTGATGGAAAACCAAATGAGAAATTTTCAGTATGTTTTTTGTAAAAAAAATTTTTATAATTATTAATTTCTATTTATGAATTCTTTATAATTTACAGTTTGATGAACCTAGTGGTATTGCTATCAGTTTAGAAAAAGGTCTTCTGTATGTGGCCGACACTAATCATCATGTTGTGAAAGTTATTGATACGAAAAAAGAAAATATTACTACGGTAAATTATTGTGTGTTTTATAGTATAGATATTGATAGTAAAATTGAATGAAAGTTAATTGTTTCTTCGTTGTTATATTTCAGTTACCGATAAATATTTTAACGATTGAAACTGACAATAACTACAAGAATGTTTATTTTTTCGATACTATTATCAGCGAGAAAGGCGGTAAATTGAGCATTTTGTTCAATATAACTTTTGCTGAATCTGATTTAAAATTGAATTTGGATGCACCACAAAAATGGTCTGTGAGTTTGTCGACGAATAGCTCTGGATGGACAGCTACGGAAAATAATGGAGAACTTTTGGATCCGATATTGATAAAATTTTCCGAAGGAAATGAAACACACGAGGTGCGCGTAATTTTAGATATTGTTGCTTGCAAAACTACCGAATGTATATCAAAAAAAGTGTTAGTGGTGTACCGTGTACATCAAAAACCAAATGCTTTTAATGTTGTAACAGAACAAAAAGAGATTATTGTTAAATAATAAATACATTTTTATTCCGTTCTCACTCTTTATTGAGTATCAAATAGATATTAGGGTGTATTTTTGTTTTAATTAATTCTAAATGAAACTCAATGAGATTTTCATTTTTTAAAGTCATATCGTAGGTTCAATCCGAACGAAAAGTAGTCAATCTTAAAAAAGAAAAAAAATAAAGATAGGGATGATGAACATTGATCCATTCAATTATTTAATGTATTTTTGTTCGTACCTTTTCCACCATGATTCAAAAGAATTATTTGAAAATGGTAATAATGTAGAGAGACTCTCCGTGTCGGGAAATAAATCTTTGTAAAGATCTTTTCGATTTCCGATTGGCCACGCTTTCTGACAGTTCTTTCGTATCCAGAGGATCAATTTCGTATTTGGTATTTCAAGTATCTTCGAATGTTTAGTAAATTTAATAAATTTTTTACTGCATAGTGAACTTCTTTATTCAACGTACATAAGTCCAACCTTCTTTGAGTCCTTGTAGGATGTGATATAACATTTAGATGGATTAAAAATTCCAATGCCTGCATCGTAACACATAGGAGGAATAACATATTCGTTTCGATCATTCCTGCGTAACGTTGCTCCAGCCGGTTTTAATCCGTATTTAATGCACGTTTGATATCTAAAAGGTGTTTAATGAAAGACAAATTTTTCTTTCTTTTCTCAAATCAAATAAGTTGCTTCATACAATAAGTAAGTTTATTATAAATTTTTAGTAACAGATATTAAAACAGGACACCCCGTATATCGATGAGCTTTATTCTCATTTTTAAAATATTTTCAGAAATGAAATGAAATGAAACGAAATGTATTTTACCAACCGCCTATCAGGAAATTTGCAGTACTCCCAATCATCGCTACGAAAAACTAGTCCATCGTTGAAGATATATCGTTTGTCCTTACATTCACCTTGCAACCAAATTCCATCTATCCTTTGTCCTCGGGGCCAATACATGCTACCATGACCATGAAAAGTACCATCACGAAATTCCCCTTCAAAGATGGCATCTATTACGAGCAAGTGGATTCGGTTCATTTACTGAAATGAGGCTGAAGTGCAGAGAAGAAGGGGACCGAAGGAGCAAGTGACC